GAAAGAAAGAAAGAAAGAAAGAAAGAAAGAAAGAAAGAAAGAAAGAAAGAAAGAAAGAAGTTTCTTTCCTTACATACCTTGTTGTATTTCTGTTCTGACTCTCCAGTAGTTGAAGACTTCGCTAATGGTGTGCGCCATCTTCCCATGTGGGAGCCTCAAGTCATCTGCCCCATTACCGTTGAAGTTCCCACAGGATCTGAACACTTTGTTGGCCAGGGTTCCGCTGATTGCCACTGTTAAGTCACCCCCAGTACTATAGAGAACCCGTACACCTGATTCCTGGGCCACTATCACCGTACCTTGAACCAGGGTTATGGATACCTCCTTAGAAGGCTGGGCTGGGAGGTGTACAGGATGTCCGTTCACCTAGCAAATGCAAATCCACAGGTTACCTGGAGACATTGTGTACTGAATTGTGGAAGATACATGAGGAAACCAGAGGTGAATAAGAATACTAGAAAGTGGCAATTGTTTTTTCTAGAAAATCAGGACTTACTACAGCCAGAGAATGCAATGTTGGCTAAATTTACAGTTCCTTTAGCATCAACACATAGTAATGTTCAGCCTCTTCATTTCTGTCTATTGCCTGCTCTTTCGCATGATGCAATTTTATCAAAAGGTGCTACCAGAATCTTTCCACCTCTCTTCTAGTGTTGTACAGAAAAATCTGGTTCCTGAATTAATCCATTTTCTAAGTTTGCCTAATACATGAAATCATAAATTAACCAAGTAGTCTGGTTTCATTCAAAACTCTAGGCCACAACAACTGAAGTTTATTCTAACAAGCTTAATGTGTTTTAGTAGAATTTCAAGTAGAATGTCACCTGTTGGGGCTTCTGATGGATCTTCTTCTTCATATAAAACTCAGGACATAGACCCTTCAGGGGATAGGGATTAGTAAGGGCCTTGCAAGAGATTCCATAGATCAAATGGATCAATTGGGTGGTATGGCACAGTTGGGCTTCCCACTAGAACAGAGGTCCCCAAACTTGGTGACTTTAAGACTGGTGGACTTCAACTTTCTTCTTAATTCTCACCAGCTTCATCCCCCTGGTTTATCAATTTGCACCTAATTCTTCCATCTTTTAATTGCCATGCTAACTCATAGACATTTAATCTCTGATGTATGCATTCAATTTTGCAGCTACTAAGATTGTTGGATGAGCAGGTACAAAAACAGCCAAGGAAGTGGTTGACACCTGGCAAACGCCCCCTCTCATTAGTCAACAGGAGTGCTGATTCAACACCACCTTAGGAGGGGAGGGCTTAACAGCACAAGGAAACAACAGCCAAAGACTTAATAGCCAGTCATCAACACCCCAATCAACAACTAAAAAAAGCCACACACAATAGGCACCATATAAATACCACACTCAGAGCAGGGGTGAGCTGCTACGGGTTCACCCAGGTTCGGGCCGATTCAGATAACTTTCAAATCCCACCCCTGGCTGGCCCCTCCCCTCCCAGGAGGCTCCTTTTTTATTTTTATTTTTTCCATTTTCATAACATATAATCACATGTATACTATTACATAGCCAACATCATATTGTATTAAGTAGTAATTACATCAGTTCCTCTTGCCATCATCAACGCCCAGAAAGATAAAAAAAACATTATTAGCTCTTCTGCTCTCCAGATACCTCTTTCTTCTGCCTCTCTCTTACCTCCTTTCTTCCCTCCATCATCCTTTTCTACTCTACTTCCCCTTCCTTTCTCCTTCTCCTCTCTCTTCATTCCACTCCTCCTTATCCTCCTCATCTTCCCCCCTTCCCCTCCCTCCCAGGAGTCTCCTTGTGGCCTTTTTTGGATGCGAGGTAAGTGCAGGGCCTGTGCAGAGGCCCGGGGAGGAGAAAAAATGGGCTTCCTGGAAGTTCCAGAAGGCTGAAAATGGGCCCATTT